AGGTGTGAACGGGTTTTACCTGGCCTGAGCCTGGCCTAGGCCTGGCCTAAGTCAAGAAATCCAGGCCAGCAAATGTAGGTGGCCTGGACCTGGCCTTGGCCTCGATCATCACTGGTGTGAACGGGTTTTTCCTGGACCTGGCCTGGGCGAGGCCCCGTTACCATCGCAATATCTGCCCACGATAAAAACTGGTCAGATGATTGTCATACAATTGGAGGGAAAAACATTCAAAGCTCGAAATTAAATACTTTAGTGGAACACAAGGACGTTTATATTGACGCCTGATTGCTTTGGCCCGGAGTTGGGCGTCAAGCCAGTGTGAATGCGTCACAATTGGCCCAGGTCAAGGCCAGGTCTGGGCCGCTGGTGTGAACGCGGCTTTAGAGTAATTGATAAAAATCACGCCCGCTGAAAAATATCGATAAAAGCCCCGTTAACAATGTACAATCTTCTGTAGAAAGTATGCAATGCGTTCAAACAACAGTAAAAATCGATATAAAGCGATAAAATAACGTTTATGTTAATCTCTCGCGGGAATGGTAGCGTGTTGCCGTACGTTAGGTGCATGTGGACGAATTAATACGTATTATGAACGGTTTTGACGCGCTTTGGTTGCAGTGACTTGTTACTTTGGAAATTATAATTAAAAAATGGAAATGAATGACGTTACCTGGACTCGGTGGACTGAGATTATGACGTCATTGTAAGATTGGAATCTGGTAGATTGTTGCATGAATAATCGATATAATAGAGAGGTTAAGATACACCGGTTTCGGTGTACGTGTACGGGTAGCATGATTTTTGTTAGCAATATTTTCGTCGATGTCTGTACCTTTACTCGTAATTAAGGTGCACATTTTTCGCATTATACTATTGTCTATTGGAAGAAAACTGAAAAAGTATGATCGAATTACAGACATCAGTAAAACAAGATGACACTACTCGTACCCGTACACCGAAACCGGGGTATCTTAACCTCTCTAATCTGTAATTAAATTTCCAATTGTGGCATAATCGGTCAATCAATACGATATTGTCTGTATAATAGCGTCATCTCTTAACTGAAGACGTTGTTGTCTGTCTAATTAACTGTGTTTGCACTAGACGTTAAAGTCGTCTCTAGTATAAAACGTCCATTGTGGTGCTCAAGTTTAATATGTTTGTTTGATTTTTCGTCAAGCTCACCAAATGCAAGGCACGCATTCAAGATGTTTAACACTCCAACTCCAATGAGAATTACAAAGGTTTGTACCACTGACGTTTACTAATTAGAAGTTATCGCCTTCCCATGAGGCACGAGAGCCTGTGAAGGAGGCTGACCAATACCGCGGAAAAGCGCTCTGGGATAAGGTTGCTATGTATAAGCGGGAGTATCTATTTGGAGCGGGGAGCGGGTCGCGGGTAAAAGGAGCGGGTCGCGGGTAAAAGGAGCGGGTAATTAAAAAAAGGAGCGGGTAATTAAAAAAGGAGCGGGTAAAAGGAACGGGTTATTAAAAAAGGAGCGGGTAATTTTCCAGGTGTGCGTCGGCACTCAAATCACTTGAGCCTGTTTGCTTTCTCTTGGACGACGCTCGAGATTTACTGTGAAGGCATTTATAATCGTTCAAATCATTCATCAATCCTAACCTCTTTATTTGAAAAAATCAGTTCTTTTTATTCTAAAGGTATGTCCCATGTTTTTATTCAACTATTTTCACATCTTTTATGATCAGAATCATTTTAATCATTTGCCATTATGATGGCCGCCATGTACGTAAGGCATGTACGTACGCCTCCGGAAAGATATCTGAGCACTAGCCTAAATAGCTGTATTTCAACAAGGAGAAAAGCTAAAAACTTTCAACAATACTTAAAATTTAATACAAAACGTGTTTCCAGAACGTAGAGCAGTTTTAAAGTTGTTTTCTCGGGAGACAAAGTGCGAAGTTTTTTTCGGCATGTTCAATCTTGTGTAATATAATAATTTTTGTCGTTTTGGTGACCCAAAAATTAAACGTTGCGCTAGTGCATGTGTACGTATTTTCAGCACGTCATAGTAAGACATGTTCGGGCTGTTAAATATCTGTTAATTTTCACATTTGATAGAATTTTCGAGATTTTTTATGTGAAGTCAATGGTTTCACTTAGTAAAAATGGTCTTTTGTTGTTTACACTTTCATAAATAAATGTCTTTTTTTACTTTAAATTCCCCACCGGCGCTTAGCACCTGGGAAATTACCCTCTCCTTTTTTAAAAACCCGCTCCTTTTATCCGCTCCTTTTTTAATTACCCGCTCCTTTTATCCGCTCCCCGCTCCAAATAGATACTCCCTGTATAAGCTATCTTGGGAAAGCAATTTTTGCATGTTAATTAAAGCAATTTTCCTTGAAAGACATTGATCTCGAACCTGTTTATGGAAGCGACTCCATAAAACCTATGTTCCAGAAATTTCAGATCTAGAGTGTATATCACATTAATTCACATCGGGCCGGTCGTCCGAAAGCTGGTTTGCTTAATCTTAGGTTAACGTAGGGCAGCTTTTTTATAAACTTGGAAATCTTTCCCAGAAATTTTCTCTGGATCAAACGGACCTGCAAAAATTCCAAAAGTGAGTTAAATTTTAGGCCGGGGTTAGTGCTTCTCGGATTTCGAACGACTGACCAAAGTACGTTAATGGGGGGTTGGAATTGTACATAGTAAAGTCCTTATTTCCAATCTGTATTTATAGATCACCAGGACGCCAAGAACATTGAATAATTTGGATTTTCCAAATCCACCAGAATTTTCTTTATCTCCTCATGTTGAACTTGATGATATGTAAAAACGTTCAAGTATGAATAGTATGTAGAAGACCAGAAAATTTTCAGAAAAAGTCACATTCTGATGGCATTTTTGTTACAAGCTGCTAACTGGCATTTTCTTAAGACAATATTTTTGTTGGCAGCTCTGATTTTGACTTTGCAGCCGAAAATTTGAATTTTGCTTAAAGAGTACCATGTTGACCAAAAATGCAAATTTTCAGATTCACTTTCCGCAAAATTAACTACACCATTAGAAAGTTCGCAAAAAGTATACACAAGGCATTTAAGTAAGTTGTCCGATTTTTCAAGCCGGTTTTGATTTAAGGATCTCAAAGTTGGAAAATAGTAACTTAATAGCATAAATTAGTGTACTTTTCATATCTTTGAGTGTTAATTTCAAAATCAGCTACGAGAATCATATTACTCACTTTAATATATTCTGATACATACATTTTTCAAAATTTCAAATGGTACAGTTCAATTTTGCTAAAAGTTTACTTGAAATTTTGCATTTTTTGTCAACATAGTACTTCAATTGACCACAGGCCGAATTCATGCCAACGTACATAGTCTTTTTGACAACTTGTAACAAAAAACGCCATCAAACATTATATTGTACTGAATTATAACTGAATTAACTCAGCAGTTTTGTACATATTATTGCATGAAACCAAATACCGACCATGCAGTTTGACAAGTCGTATTATAACTAGCTAGTATATGCATGAGCCAATTATCACTTATTTAATGAGACCGAGGGAAACCGGGGCGAAGCCGAGGACAACAACGGTGGTCGGGGGCACAAAACACACTGCTATCCCGAGATCTCAGTAAATAAGTCTTTGTTATGTAGTATAGTATGAACAATTCACCCGTTATTGGAGTGAACTTTGAAACCAAAACTAGATCAATGGAACGCCGTATATGTTTAATAAAAAAGTTTAATAAAATGGGACTTCACGGTTGACCCGCATGCGCACGCACCCATTCTATTATTGGCCGGTCAATAATTGTTTCTTTGCGGACCGGTTGCCTCCTCGCCAAAGCATGCCGTGAACATGACGTTTTGTGTACCCACACGTGATACGATTTTGACCAATCGGCAAACAGAAAAATTGAACTTTGACACTAACTAATATAACAAGAAGATTTGTTTATGATCTTGTGCGTTGATATGAAAAATGGACTGGATAGGGCACCCTTTCGAATTCAACGAGCCAATGTTGAAGCCTGACCAGCTTTTAGAAGAATAGATTTGTAATTTGAGGTGTCCATATTGGTGTAACCGCATCCACCAAACCCGTGGCCAGAGTGGTGATTCCGCTCGGCTGCACCCACAGGCGGCCCAATCTCGCAAGGGTCAGTATAGACTTATAGCCGTATAAATGTATATTATATTAATGTATATTATAGCAAAAATATGTCGTAAAATATAAATGTTAAAATGAAATTGACTTGCCTATTTGATAGTGTGTGTTCTCCTTTTATTCCTCCTTTGTTGGACTAATATTTTCGAGACTTTGTACTCGATGTTACTAGTATACATGAAACATGATAAAGGCTAACGATTCCCGATCGCCGAACAATGGAAATCAAAACCCATTTTATATTGAACTTACCCGGACCGAAAATTACTACGGCGAACGTCTGCGCAACCAGGCCTCCTTTACCGTTGGATTTACAGGGGGGGGAGCAGATATTTCCGGTAACAGCCAGCCAATCGCGGCCGCGATAGCGACTGTTTACATTATTTGAAATTTGATATTCACAATAAAAACTCCTTCGATCGGATACTGTATAAAACTCGAGATATTGTCGAAGAAACGAAAACTAAACGACGGAGATTGAAGAAATTTAAGGAAGAAGTAATATACAGCGGCTCTTTGTTGGAAAGCATGGTAGAATATGATACTTTAATTCGAAATATTATCGTTAATATATTAGTGGCATCCTCCCCCCCTGTAAATCCAACGGTAAAGGAGGCCTGGTTGCGCAGACGTTCGCCGTAGTAATTTTCGGTCCGGGTAAGTTCAATATAAAATGGGTTTTGATTTCCATTGTTAAAATATGGTCCAAAACTTCTACATCTCGCCGAAGTACCTCCGTATTTTCGAAGAACGGCATTTGTTGTACATGCGGGCGAATTGTTTTGGAGAATAAAGAGATTTGAGTGTGAGAATTTTGGATTCGAAGTGCCGTGCCGTCGTATGGACGATCGGGAATCGTTAGCCTTTATCATGTTTCATGTATACTAGTAACATCGAGTACAAAGTCTCGGAAAATATTAGTCCAACAAAGCAGGAATAAAAGGAGAACACACACTATCAAATAGGCAAGTCAATTGCATTTTAAAATTTATATTTTACGACATATTTTTACTATAATATACATTAATATATAAATATACATTTATACTATAAGTCTATACTGACCCTTGCGAGATTGGGCCGCCTGTGCTGCACCCGGCAAAAAGGAAGCTAGCGGATCGAAAGGTTTGTTAATTATCGCGAGTTCATAGCTATATATGTTTGAATTATGTCGGTGGTCATGTCACTGATCACAAAATATGTTGCTTGCCAGGAGTGGAAGGAGCAAGGAATGAAGAAACATCACTGTCAGAAAGCTTGGAGTTTGTTTCTGACAAAATGATAAAAATGTATTTAATATGGGAAGTCGTGAAGTATACGGCAAGTTTGTTTTGACTGACTACGAATTATGTATTTGACTATTAATTTTTTACTAAAACATGTATTGCTTTAACAATTAAGCTGAAAATGAAAACGACAGAGAAATAATTTTATGAGCGAACCGTATGATTTAAATATATTTTATTTGAAAGTCTGACTTATAAACCAGAACTTCAGCCATTCGGCCTGTGAGAATGCCAGAATTGGACAATAAATACGAAGGTGCTACTTATCAGTTCATACAACCACAGTATTATTCTTAAAATCGAAATCCAAATACGAAATTTCGACACCCCCCTGGCAGACCGCGCAGACAAAAACAACAGAAAAGGACTGAAACTGACGTCCAATAGCTCCATCTTTGGACTCTGGAGTCCTCACTAGGTTTCGTATAATTGGAAAAAATCTCAGTCTAAGATCTTTGGGTTATTACCGCAAATAGTATCGGTAATGAAAAGGAAATGAGTGATACACGTGCGAACAGCGAACATATAAAATGCAGGCAGCTTTCTGGTGTTTGTCAGTTTACTCAGTTGGTTTAAAAGCTACGAATGATGATGATGATGACGATGATATTAACTTTATTTAACCACGCTAACATTAATTGTCAGCTAAAGCTGGTTTCCACAATGGGCGTGTAAAATATTTACAAATAGTTACAAGTACAATTCAATGAGAGGAATAAAGAATATAAAGTATGCAGATATACATAAATATTCAAAAAGTATCTATTTACAAGATTTATGAATCATGTTATTTCAAAAAGTAAGGATAGCGATTTTTCTTTTAAAACATGAAATCGATTTACTTTCTCTTATATATTGTGGCGTGGAGTTCCAGATAGAAGCTCCATCGTACATAAAAACGTTTCTTCATATTGTTCGTATTTGGCTTTGGCAAACGTATTGAACTTGAGTTATCACGAAGATTGTGGTTTAATGTTTCCGTTTTGAAAGTAAATAATTCTTTAAGCGAATTTGGTCCCATGTTATTGAGCGTTTTAAACATAAGTTTTGCTTTGGCTTTTACTCTTTGTTGCTTGAGCGGTTCCCATCCTAATCGACGAGCCGTTCGAGGTTACTAATTCCCCCCGGCTATTTACACCCGGGGAAACGAAAGCATAGCGGACTTTAGCGGAGTCTAAAGTTCATCAAATATCGCGAGCGTGCGTCACCAACGGTGTTGGGTGGGTGGTCATCACTGAGCTCAACTTAATATATCTGGAGATCGTGCTCCAATACCTCGTCACTCAAAAATGTGTGGCCAAAAACATGGCGGATTTTGGCCAAATTTACGTCATTTTGACGTCACAATCGACCTAAATTTATGGTGAACACCACTGACGTAAAATACTAACGTGAATAAAAAAGTTATTCACACCCCCCTTTCAATTTGCTTAAAACAGAAGGAAGTAAATTCAAAATTTCGGTCGGAAATTTCTATATTGAAACGAGACATTTGCAACCATGCCAACTTTTTGTTCAATTCCTGGTTGCCAAAAATCTACTGAAAGAAAGGACCTGTCCTCACATGCGTAAGGCTCGTATAATCTCTTTTTTTTGTAATCATTTAACGCATGCTGTATTGCTGTATTGAATGCGTAAATTTGTGAATTCATGAAATTTATTGGCAAGCAACATACAATGCAATTTATGTTAGTGTACTACAGTGCAAAAGCAGAACAAAATTTTAAAATGTTGACAAGCTTGTGGAGCTGTTGTCGAGCAAGTATTTATTTTCATGCAAGTTGATGGATGTGATGCAGTGATGAAATCCTATAGATATCCTAACAGATAATGCTATGTTAAAAAATTTCAAATGAGAATTTTAACAATGTGATAAAGATACGACTAGCTTTAAATGTACAAAGCCTTTCACTCATTGTATTGTCTTTATTGTGGACTAAACCATGTGTTGTCTAGTGTGGCATTGTTTATATTGTAAGTTATAGGTATCGTATTGAACAGTGTACTAACTAGACACTAGAAACAATTGTTCATTTACTTCAAAGCTTTCCAGATGAGAAGAGATTCCCTGAATTGCACAGCATATGGGTGAAGAATATAAGCAAACTTATGCCAGTGAAGTTTGTTCCTATGAAAAATAGTCGTTTGTGTTCAAAGCATTTTAGTGCTGATATCTTTGAGGAGGATTACAGCCAGAGACCAGTGTTAAAGCCATATGCTGTACCAACAACCTTTAATGATTGCTTTGGTTGTGATCTTTACAGTTTATTATTAGTACAATTAATGGTCATACTGTACATGAGGGGTAATTAACCATTGAGCGCCAGCGCTCTCCCCTTGACGAGTAAAATTGTCTGGCGTTAGACAGAGTAAAATACTAAAATAGGGTGCTTCGCCACTCAATGGGTTAAATTTATTCCTTAATTTTTCTGCTAACAACTTTAAGTTATTTGTACACATTTTGGTCTGTTTAGCTAAGCCAAGATTGCTACATTTGCATTTATTTTGACCATTTGTGTTAGTGTACAAATTAGGTTAGCATAATTACTGTAGGTGCTGACCATCAAGTAGGGATTGACATGCATAGAATTGGTTGAGCAGTTTATTTAATTAAATTGGTGTTGTATGTGTTTAAAAATAAAGAATACATTTTGTTGTGATTTGAAATTGGATATATTATTTATTCTTATTACTAAATGTAATTATATAATTATCTTGGAAAATCTTTTTTTGAATAAAATTTTTTTTTTTAATAATTCTTCACTGTCGTTCCAATTGAAGTTTTCCTCAAATATTGGACGGGCGTTGAGAAACTTTATATGAAGTATGCGTTTATTATACTGCGGGCTCAAGAACAAACGTTGTCGTGACGTTTTGAGAGAACTGAGTTGTTTAAAAGGAAATTGGTCGTTTTGTACGCTGTTTTGGACGCTTTTGGATCGTGAAAACTTGTTATTATTGTCGATTTTGTATTGCTCTGTTGGCTGGCTTGAATCAAGAAGATTTGACTGTTTTTTGAACGGTAAAAATGAGCATAATTTGACTGATTTATTTCCGTATATGTGACGGTCGTAATATTTTAACTTAGACAGTCTCAGTTTATTCATTTATGTATTGTGTAAGGTTAATAGGTATGTTTTAGTATTTCTGTATTATTTCGCTTTGTAAGTTTATGAATATTTGTCTTTTTAGCGTGAAAAATAAAACCGTTCGTTATTGTGAGTGGTGTGTACTTTACGTAACATTTAATATACAGTCCCCAAATACAAGTATTGAAGGCGCGTGGGTTGGTCGTCAACAAACATTGAAACGAGGCCCATAGGCGTGAACATTTTGGTCCTTCGAGCCGGATCAGAGCAAAACTAGACAGAACTGAGAAACTGTGGGACATAATTTTGGAATAAAATAATGTCTGTAGCCGAAAATACAAGATCACGAAAGGATAAAAGATCTCAAAAGGATGACATAGATCATGAGGAAGTCCCAGAAACAAGCCAAATCCCTCAAGCCGATCAGAACATTGAGAAGGTAGACAGTTCAAGACATGTTAGAGAAGACCCATCAACCCCCCTCTCCAAAGCAATCAAAGGCATTCGCTTCAAGAGACGTGTTGCAATAGGGATGATCACCAGATATATTAATGCGACCAACAAAATGATGGAAGAAAAACGTAGTCGGACTGCTATAAAGAGAAATCTACATGACATCCAAACTAAATTTAAAGAAGTAGTAGCCTACAATGACCAGCTCGAAAAGTATCTTGAAGGGGATGAAGAAATACTCGCGGACATGTATATCCTCACTGACTTAACAGTCGACGTAAATTGCATAACTGGCATGGTACAGGAACATCTACAAGACCGAACCGGTGAGACCTCGACATACATTGGTTCAGAGACTAGTTCACAGCACAGTAGTCCACCCCCCGAGCCCCAAGTGGAAGGTGATGATCAAGATGAAACTGACAAGCAGAAACTGGAAGAACTTGAAGCTGAACAGAAGAGAAAAGATGAAGCAGCCTACCTATCAGAATTAGCCCAGCAGAAAAGAACCGAAGCTGCTCAACTCGAATTAGAAGCAGAGGAAGCTGAAAGACAGTCAGAAGCCATTGGAGGTGGGTGTAACCAGTCCGGACAAAAACTGCCTGTAAACCTGCCAACACAACCAGAGATATGCGGTAAAGAAAAGGCTGCACTTTATGTACAACACCTCGAACAAGTCCAGACACAGGGAGCCCAATCTGAAAATGCCAGTGAAGAAGATTGGATTGTTGGATTTCGAAAGACACTGAAAGTTAATGTTCGATCAGTGGACCCTGGAAAAATCCCCGTAAGAGCAGATGTGCCTATTTATAATGGCGATCCATTGAAGTGGTTGTCCTGGAGTGGTCTCTTCAAAGCGCTTGTACACAATACGAAGATGACCTCGGAAGCCAAGATGGGATTCCTTCACACAAAGCTTTCTAAAGAATGTGACCAAGTGATTGCAGGTCTGTTCCCAGATGACGAAGGATATGCCGAAGCCCTAATGCTATTACGGGATAGATATGGTCATCCAACTACGCTACAAGCAGCTCATCTACAAGTATTGAAATCGCTACCTGCTGTCGATCCTGGAGACCCGGACAGTTTAGCAATTAGTTTCCAGACCTTCGTTGATCAAGCGAGAAGTCACCTTGCTGTACTAAAACGATATAGTATGGGAGAATCTCCATTTGTGTCGTCTCTTATTTATGAACTGACTGATAAGTTACCACAGGAGGATGCAAAGGCCTGGCGGACAAAAGTTGGTGAAGGTCAAGTGAAGATGACGCTAGAAGCATTCAGCACATGGTTGGGAGCAAGAGGAAGGTGTTACTGGAGTGCGTTGCCCCCACAAAATACTCGAAGAAAAGAAAATCGTAACAACCGAAATCGTCCCAGAAGATCTTTATTTGGCCAGCATATTGCCAAATGCGTGAAATGTGATGGCAAGCATAGGACGGAGAACTGTACAAAGTTCAAAGAGTTGTCAACGGAAGACCGTTTCAACTTTGTGAAAGAGAAACGGCTCTGTTTTGGTTGCTTAGAAGAATCTCATATTTCTCGAAATTGTACACAGAAAAAGGAATGCGGCATCGGGAACTGCAAAAGGAAACATCACCCGTTATTACACCAAGAAGAGAATGTGCGTTCAACCACCACCAAGACACCACAGTCCGGTGTAGCGTTTGGAGTTGTTGAAGTTTCCGTCGTTGGTGCTGGCGGCATTCAAGTGAAAGGAAACCTTTTGTTTGATGATGGTTCTGACACTACGCTGGTCACAGAATCTTTTGTGCGAAAGCTGGGATTGCGGGGAAAGAAGACCACGCTCAACATTTCGGGTGTTGGAGGAAAAGAAAGCAAAAGAACGTCTTCTCAAGTGAACCTCCATGTTAAAACACCACAAGGCAATGCTGAATATGTTAATCTCACAGCCTGGAGCCTTCCAAAGATCTGTCAGCCAGTTGGAACTGTTCAATGGCCTGATATCAAAAGAAAGTGGAAGCACCTGGAAAATGTTAACTTGAAAGCTGTTGGTGGTGAAATTGATATCCTTCTTGGTCTTGATCATGCAGATTTGTTGATACCGTTGGATGTAAAGATGGGCAAACCACAAGAAACCGTAGCCAAAAGGACAAGTTTTGGCTGGATGGCGGTCAGGCTGGTTGGCAAGCCTCGTGGCGACATCCACAGCTATCACGTTGCCAGAGCTGAGGCAGAACAACTCGATGTTGCCTTTAAGCAGTTTTGGGATAGCGAGTCGTTTGGGACTAAGACAACGAACTTGCCACACTACTCCAATGATGATCAACGAGCCTTGGATATACTGGAACACGAGACTAGGAAGTTGGAGACCGGTTACGAGATCCCCTTGTTACACTGGCCTGTAGGCCAAGTGTCTTAAATCCCTCTTTTTCTGTTTTTTTCGTAGTCGAGAAATCGAGTTTGCGTTAGCGCATCGCAGGCTCAAGGTGCAACGATTAAGCCAAAATGCCATCGATTCCCTCCGTTCCATAATTCAAATACAATAGCAACAAATTACGTATTTATGTACGTACTAGCCGACTCATGCCATGCTTGTGGTACATTGTTCGTTTATTAGCCTATACACTTGTACGCACGCGCACAATTCCGAACTGCAATGGCGGCTTTTCACAGAGTGATCAAACTATATTTTACACAGTTTCGTTGAATTTTCAAAGAATTGTGCCGGTTTCCTATGTATTTTACGTTGTGTCGTACTCTGGACTTTCTTGCATGTTGAATTAATGTGTTTTTCTTTGTGTAATGACTCGAAAACCACAAAATATAATATTTAGTACTCCACGAAATATAATCCGCACGAAAAGATTTGTGGTAGCTACAGTATACTGAAAGATAAAGCGTGCGTTCAAAATACCAACAAGAACTAGAACCATTATTGTATCATTTGTATGGTTCTCATTTGCTAGACTTGCCACAAGTCGACCTCGAAGAAACGCATTTCGTTCGAGGTCGACTTGTGGCAAGTCTACTGATTTACAATAACATTAGTTCGACGCGAATTTTAATACAAGTATGGTATCATATTTCATAATACAACAAACAATATAAACTAGCCATACTTTTTGCCGAACATAACTTCGGCCCCTTTGGACATATCCTTTTCGTGATAATGTTATTGGAACCAGAATCGAAAACATTATTTATAGTATTATTTTCAAGCTTGTGTCTTGAGATTCTCATCTTTTATTTCGGTATTTACAGAATATTTATATTTTTAGCGCGGCCCATGGAACGCACATGAAAACAACGCGCTGTTAGGAAAAACCGGAAATCGATTCTGTAGGTCGGCATGATTTGCACGTGCATCGATCTCCATTACGTCTCCCCAAAAGGTCTTTTATTTTTTTAAAAAGTCCATAAAATTTGCTTGCGGTTTAAGATTTGTATTCCTGCCTTTTGCACCATAGCACGTATCTAGTTATTTTCAGGCCAGTGTGAACGCCTGAGCAGGCGTCTTGTTATGGAAAGAAAACGAACCACAGCTTCAGAACAATCGAGAAGTCGCGCAAAAGAGATTGGAAGGCTTGCAACGACGATTTGAGCGAGACCCAGAGTATGAGAAAGATTATCGCAAAGCTGTCAGCAAGTATGTAGAAGACGGATATACGCACAAAGTGGGTGAAGAAGACGACTTCAATGGACCAAATCAGTGGTATCTCCCTCATCACGGAGTATATAAGAAATCATCCGCCGAGAAGAAGATCCGAGTAGTCTTTGATGCCTCAGCTAAGTACAGAGGCAAATGTTTGAACGATGCTTTACTCCCAGGACCTGTTCTACAGAATGAACTTCCACAAGTCCTCACAAAGTTCCGGGAAGGTGATGTTGCATTCGGAGCCGATATCGAGGCAATGTTTAGCCGAGTTAGATTGCAGGAGCAAGATGCTAGATATCATCGCTTTCTGTGGAAAGAGAAAAACAGTGAGGTCATTGACACTTATCAGATGAACAGATTAGCCTTCGGTGATACCTCGTCACCATGCGAAGCAATTTATGTCACTCGCCAAACTGCTAAAGATCATGGACAAGGACAAGAAGAAGCTGTGAGAGCTATTAACGAGAACTTGTACGTGGACGACTATCTTGACTCTGCAGAGACTAAGGAACAAGCAATCAAGAGAGGACAGCAAGTAAAGGAGATCTTAGCAAAGGGTGATTTACATTTAAGGAAGTGGACTTCCAACATCCCGGAAGTAGTATCTGAGCTCGGACAGGAAACGAAACCTGAAGTTGACATTGTGACCAACCTTGTCGAACATGAACCAGAAAAGAAAATTCTCGGTGTAAAATGGAACACTGAAACTGACGAACTTACATTTGCAGTTGCACCGGTTGAAGATGTAAGATACACCCGAAGAGGCCTCCTGAGCAAGCTGGCCGGCGTGTTCGACCCCCTTGGGTTAGCTTCGCCATTCATTATCAAAGCAAAGATCCTAACACAACAATTATGCCTACTAGGTCTCGATTGGAATGACCCCATTCCTAATTCCCACCTGACGAAGTGGAAAGCTTGGTTAAGAAGGCTGCCAGAGTTAGAGCTAGTATGTGTACCACGATGTATACAACCTAAGAAGAAAAACGTGATCGAGTCAGAGATCCATACGTTCTGTGATGCCTCGGAGGAAGCTTTCGCGGCCGTGGTCTATTTGAGAAGCATTTATGACGATGGCGACGTACGGTGCTCCTTCCTGATGGCCAAGACGAAAGTAGCTCCGAAGAAAGCTTTAAGTGTAGCAAGGCTTGAACTGCAAGCTGCCCTTCTAGGTGCTCGCCTAGCGAATTATGTTAAAGAAGCTATGACACGACACATTGACCGCGTGTTCTTTTGGACGGACAGTAAATGTGTTATTGGTTGGATACGATCTACTGCAGTTTGGTATAAGCCGTTCGTCGCTCACCGAGTTGGCGAAATCCAAACGTTGACAGACCCAAAGTCCTGGCGCCACGTACCTGGCCGACTGAATGTAAGTGACTGTGCCACCCGTTCGAGATTTGATGAGCGGTCGGAATTAATTCCCGTGCGTTGGTTCACTGGCCCTGATTTCCTTTATCAAGGTGAAGATAAATGGCCAAAGGAAATGCCTGTCGAAGAGTTACAGCAACACGAAGAAATCAAACCAAGCAAAATATTCGTTGCCAAATTCAACCCAGAGCGCGTTCCCGTCTATGCTGACGTCGATTTGGAGCGATGTTCGTCCTTGTCGAAAGCACAGCGAGTAGCAGCGTTAGTTCATCGTTTCTTCAATGTATGTAAAGGAAAGAAACCAAAGAGTAGTGTCGTAACCGTACAAGAATTACGAGTTGGACTGACTGCCCTAGTATGCCAATGTCAACGAGAGGCATTCCCCGACGAGCTCCAATCCTTGGAAAGAACGAAAAGTGTCAGCAAGCGATCAAAACTGTTGTCATTTACACCCTACCTCGACGAGAATAACGTAATACGTGTTGGAGGAAGACTTGACCGAGCTCAATTCCTTACGAAGTGCGACACCCGATCCTCCTACCTCAGAAACACCGTTTGACCCAGCTGATTATCGGGAGCTATCATCGGCTCGAAAAACACGGAGGAACCAGTGGCGAAGCCAGCGGTCATGCAGGTCATGCAGTGCATGACTAAAAATTTCCCCCAAAATGTTTAAAAATCAGTTCAGTATAATTGTTTACAATAGAATTATACTTTATCTTTGCACTTCTACGCCTAAGTATTTTATTTATTATTTTGTTTACCCAAATCAATGGTCTTTAGGCGATATTCTTGCTAAATATTCTCGTATGTTATTGATTTTGGCTTTGTTACCTTGGCAACTGAGCGGTCCTGCATATTTTCATATGCATGACCGGTTGCGTAAGCGCGTGGAAAAAGATTGCGTGTGATTATGGCGCTTTTTCGGGTTCAAAATGCAATACTTTAAATTTGTCGATATCTGTCTTTGGAAGAGTAGCTATTTGACGTGTATATATGAATTTGTCGAATAAAAGTTCCATAAATTCTTGAATTTGTCGAATTAAAATAAACAACTGTTCATGACTTCGTCGATTGTTTAAATTCTTCGATAATGCCTTGCGACCTTGGGGACTTGAGCCCGCAGATCTCAAAGTATTAATAAAGAAAATGAAAACGTCATTTAATTTTACATAGAATTTTCACAAGATGGCGCAGGCGAATGATGTAATAAGTTTGTATGCATCAAGATTAAGGCAGTCCCTTCTTGATCTGTCCAGAAGATTGCAGTCCAGTCCAGACGAAGAAGTTGTAGACTTCCTTATATATCATTCGCCTGGAACAAATATGTGGTCACTTGACTCGAATGGGAAACAGATTTAACTCAACCTTCCATGCTATTTCAGAAGTTATTTCACTGCTTCGAAATTTAAATTTAGAAAACAGAACAACTCTTCCTAATGTGTTAGAACAAAACAGAGCTAGCTCTGTGGGAAGACCGAAATTTGTTATCACCAGAGACATTTGTTGCCCAGCAGGAACAGAAACGATGCTATTAGCAGCTGTAATAAGTTTTTCTGCACAGTCTCTCAGAATAAAAAAGTATATAAATGAATAATGCAAGAACGGCGAACAAACGAAACACGTGTTTATGGAAAACTTCATGTAATTCTAGTCAAAATAAATCCGAGATCTGCGGGCTCAAGTCCCCAAGGTCGCAAGGCATTATCGAAGAATTTAAACAATCGACGAATTCATGAACAGTTGTTTATTTTAATTCGACAAATTCAAGAATTTATGGAACTTTTATTCGACAAATTCATATATACACGTCAAATAGCTACTCTTCCAAAGACAGATATCGACAAATTTATAGTATTGCATTTTGAACCCGAAAAAGCGCCATA